AAAAGAAAAGAAAAGAAAAGAAAAGAAAACACCATTGTACTATCCCCTTACGGTTTAATTGGGTCAAAAAATACCTTTGCTCTTTTTTTTTTTGTAATCAGACAACATATGCTGTGAGCCCCAGGGTTCTAGCTACCTGGATTCCACTTGACCCACGCACTGCCAGAGGTCCCACAGGCAGCAGAAAGGGCACAGGTGTCAGAGACCCAGCCTCCAGACATGGCCCCTTCACCTACCTGCCACCTGAGGGCAGTTGCTTCCCAACTCCACAGCTCAGTTTCCTCAGCTGTGAGAGGGGATAAGATGCTGTGCTAGTTACCTCTCTAGGGTCACTGTGAACACCGTGACAGGAGAAACAAGGGTTCATATTAAATTAATGTGTTGATCAAAAATAAAGTATGGTTTTAATAAAAGTGTTCACTAATGAGCTAGGACTAACAAAATAAACTTATCTTTTAAAATGTGCAGGAAGTTCTTAAGGAGTCAACTAGAAATTAGCATTCTGTGTGATCTGTTAAAAGGTAAGATTTGCAGACCTAGCACATCTTTTTATTTTTTTAAGCTTGAGAAGAGCAGCAATCCCTTTAATGTTTGATTTCCTCTGGGAGCCCCCTAACACAAGATTTATCCAGCTGCCAGGTACTAAGGAGAAAGAGCAGTTTTGGGTCATGTGGTCTCTTAATAAGAGTGCAACGGATTCCAAACCAGAAAGGTGGTGCTCAGCAATGTTTCTCGTGAATGCTGGGATCTTACAGAGTCGCGGTCCTCGATGACTCTCTGGGGCCTGGATGATGAGGATGGACTTGTCCCCTTGAGCCTCTTAAACTGTGTGAACAAGATGTTCATGGTGGCAAGAAGCACTTCTGAGAGGTTGTGCCTGATCTACACAGAGAGAAAAATGGAGTAAAGAAAAAGAACCAACCCTTTCAGGCCAACCACAGATGTAGGGAGGGTGAGCTGCTCCAGGCGGGCCTGGTCGCATCACTCCTCACCATTACCAGGTGGAGAGCCACACAGTCACCCAAAAGGAGCTGATGGCACTGAAACATCAAGTGTGAGAAAAAACCCCAAGCAATGCTGCTCAGGTCAGGTGGTTACTGTTTCTGCTTCTTTATGCTGTTTACGCTGCTTTTCCCTTAGTCAGGGGCAGCAAGCCAAAAAACGCATGCTGACATCTGGTTAGCATTAGGCTTAGACTGGCCAGCAGAGTGGATGCCAATACATAATTTGAATTTGAATGTCAGGAGGTACAGGTGCACATGCTACTTCTCCACAGTCCCTACCACTCCCCACTCTCTCAAAGTCAGTGGGCTGTTTCCACTGGATCTGCATGGCCCTACCAGAGTCCTTGGGAGTGTCTACAAGGGCAGGCCCTGGTGTACTACTTTAATCTCTGATGCAATGAAGGATGTATTCAAGGAAAGGCTAGAAATAACAAAGGAGCAAGTGGCTAAGGGTAGAAACCACAGCAGGTATAAAGGGAAAGTCAGCAAGGGGTAAGACCTTCTGAACTGTGTGTACCACAGTAGTCAACATCCCTCTTCATGTGCAGAACTGGCCTTACTTCTTTCTCTAAAACAGAAACTTTTTTTTTTTTTTGAGACAAAGTCTCCCTCAATCGCCCAGGCTGGAGTGAAGTGGCGCAATCTCAGCTCACTGCAACCTCTGCCTCCTGGGTTCAAGCGATTTTCATGCCTCCGCCTCCTGAATAGCTGGGACTACAGGCATGCACCACCATGCCCGGCTAATTGTTATATTTTTTAGTAGAGACGGGATTTTACCAAGTTGGCCAGGCTGGTCTCCAACTCCTGACCTCAGCTGATCCATCTGCCTCAGCCTCCCAAAATGTTGGGATTATAGGCGTGAGCCATCGCACCTGGCCAGAGACATTTTATAAACGGCATCTGCTCAATGAGGAATAATTTTAAACTGAAAAACCACTAGTGACATCCCAGAGCCAGGCAGTTGGTTCTAGCATAGTGTTGAGAGCTGAGTTGAGTGTTTGTAGTTCTAGAGATGAATTCACCTGGGCCACACACTGGAATGACTCGGGGAGGTCTGGGCTGCAGCAGTCAGGGAAACCAGAATCTCTGGGGTCTGGGCATCAGAGTTCTTAGAAACTCTCCTAGAGATGCCAGTATGCAGCCCAGCTGAGCACCCTGGGCTAGATGTTGGCAATATGCTAGAAACCCGACAGACAGACAGTGGCTCTGGGGCTTATGGGGTGATAGTCACAGTCACTGAATTTGCTTCTTTAGACAAAACAGATCAGGGAGGGCAAAGGTGGCAGTGCATCATGATGTGTTTCATGTACCCAATGGAACTACTTAAAGATGATCAGAGTTAACCACCAAAATACCCTCTAGTACAAGTGGATAACAGAAGAATTAAACCAGACTTCACAGGATCAACCAGAAACCTGTTTCTCCCAAGAACATGTCAATCACTGAAATGACCGTATTTTCTCAATCAGGAATTCAGACAATAATCTGATGGGGATGTATGCACTCACAGAAAAGCCAGGCCAAGGTATTTGAAAGGGAACCACTCTGGAAAACTCAGTCTGGATAGTTACTGTAACTAGAACTCTTAAAGCTGTTAGGTACAGGAAAAGAAAAAGCTTTTGGTGGAAGTGAGGAAAAAGGAATTCCATAACTCAGGAAGAAGGAACTTACTTCATCACTGAAATTTCTGAAGGCAGCCACTCTCTCTTCCACACTTTCCTGATTCAGGGGCACCAGCTTCAAGCGCTCAATTATCTGTTTAAAACAACCACCAGCCCCATGTAAGACAATCATCACAGTCATTTCATCTCTCTACATGTAAAGTCAGCACCCTCACGTACTCCAAAGGGCTTCTTCATAGAAAACACCATTCTCCCTTGTGTACACACAAAGGCTTTGATTCTAACTAGCTAACTTAATTCTTATCCTCATTTTCTGACACATTTTTTAAAATTCAGAGATTTCAAATTACTTTGAGAAATGTATCTGTTTTCAGATTAAAGGGCAAACGAATAGGGGGAAAAAAATAAAGCAACACAGGAAATCCTTTTAAGTCCCAGGATTGTACTTGTCCTTCTTCATTTAACAAACATACTGGCAACAGCTCCTTTGTTTTAAGTAAATTCCACGCAGTGTTTTGAATTTTCAAGGGTGTACATTAACCTGCACTTCAAACACCTTTCCTGAAACTTACATCAAAAGCTCTATCAATATGACCACTATGATACTCGTCAAAAAAGGTGATCAAGTCCAAAAGAAGATAGAACGTGGAGTCCACAAATTTATTTGCACTTATTCCTTGAGCCCTATACCTGAAAGACAAAAACGGGGTAGGGGGAGTGAGAGTGTATCAGGAATTTCTGTGTAATCCGTAACTGTGGAATAGCATTTAAAAAGACAGTGGGGTGTGGTTCATGTGGCTCATGCCTGTAATCTCAGCTACATGGGAGGCTGGGGCGGAACGACTGCTTGAGGCCAGGAGTCAGAGACCGGCCAGGAGTGAGAGACCAGACTGGACACACAGCGAGACCCCATCTCCACAAAATATTAAAATATTAGCCAGGGGTAGTGGTATATGCCTGTAGTTCTATCTCCTCAGGAGGCTGAGGTGGGAGGATTGCTTGAGCCCAGGAGTTCGAGGTTACAGTGAGCTATGACTGCACCACTGCACTCCACTCCAGCCTAGGTGACAGAGGGAGACCCTGTCTCAACATACAAAAAATACATAAAAAGCATCAAAACCTCTTGAGCTCTCTGGGTGAAGTTAATTAAAGAGTGTAAAATGGTGTTTATTTTGAAACAGCCAAGCACTGATAGTGGATTTGGTATGAATCCACCTACAGGTACTCCACATGGAGCGTGGTTCTCCAGCCTTGACCATCATCTCAGCATCCAATCTTCATGAAAGGTGGGAGGTCCTGACGGGCAAAAAGCCGAGCGGCCATCACTAGGGATTGTTTGCTAGGTGGAGATATCTCATTTACCAAAGAATGCTCTTTTGTGTTACCCCGGGAAAGCACTCCAAACCCAGTTTTCTCTGGGTCATTTTATTAGCAATATCTATAGAGAGCACAAAAAGTAATGTTGTTAGCCTCGGCCTGGGACTTAAACTAGTTAAAAGTCTGATAATTCAGTTAACTCACTGGGGATCCAGGTTGTCTGAAACACTGGCCACGACACCTCTAAGAATCTCCCCCATCCAACTATCACTAGCTTTGGTCTTGAATGCCTTTGAGAGGGCTGATGAAAGTATACAACAGTATATAGGTGAGCATAATGCCTAGAATTAAACTTCATGTGCATGACTAAAATACTGAGATGCCCTTTCATACCCATTTCTTTGGCAAAAATGTTAAGTTTGATAGTACCAAGTGCTAGTTCTGATGTGGGGACAAAGGAACTCACGCAGTGCTGGTGGCATGATGAGTTAGAAGAACCACTTTGGAAAGCTGTCTGCTGTTACCTAGTAAAGCTGAACATGCATTTGGGTGGGCAAAGGTGGCCTGACACTGGCAGTGGCACCCTCAGGGTCCCATGGAGTCAGCTCCTGGCTTACCGTTCAGCAATGGAGAGTGCCATGTTCTTCAGCCTCTCCTTGTTGGACTGCGGGGCACTGATCTGGGGGACGACAGGGCTCAGCAGTTTGTTCATCAGTTCCAGTACCTTGTCAGCATTCTGCTCACGTTTTTAAAATTAAGGAAGCAATCAATAAAATAATCAATAAAAGGAACAAGTATATAATGCCCCCTACCCACCAAAGAGAACTTTCTGGGGTGATGGATGGAAATGTTTGGTATCTTGATCTGGATGGTGGTTACAAAGATATACACCTATGCACAATTCGTCAAGCTGTACATATAATTATTGCACATTTTTCTACATCTTAATTATACCTCAAAGCATTTTTTACCGCCTCCCAGGTTCAAGCGATTCTCGTGCCTCAGCCTCCTGAGTAGCTGGGGTTACAGGCATGCACCACCATGCCTGGCTAATTTTTATATTTTCAGTAGAGACGAAGTTTTGCCATGTTGGCCAGGCTAGTCTTAAACTCCTGGCCTCAAGTGATGTGCCCGCCTTGGCCTCCCAAAGTGCTAGGATTACAGGCGTGAGCCCCTGCACTTGGCCTATAGCTTTTTTTTTGGTCTACTTTTCTCAGCTGATAAAGGAGAGAATGTAATCTTGTTTAGGTCATAGAATCCTTAGCAGCTACCATATGTTCTTAGTCATCATTTGTTCTTAGGTAGAAACATGTATTCTAGTCATCTCAAAATGCCCAGCTGTGGTCTTATTTTCTTTCACTCCTTCCTGCACACTGATGTGGTCTTATTTTCTAATACTACTGTTCCCCAGTGTGTCTGTGGCTGCCAGGGTCAGCATAATGCCATTTTCAACAGTGGCTTCACCATGGAAATGTGATGGATGCTAATTCTGCTGCCAAGTGAGACAATAGTTCAATGCCTGCAGGACATCCTTTCAATATGTTGTTTGGTCAGAAAAATCTTATGGGAAGAAATACAGCTGTAAAATGGGAATTCTGTCCTGACTGGACCATTAACTGTCTAAGCACTAGAGCAAACGCCTCTACAGGGAGGGTGCTACAACAACGACACTGTCGTTGTAAATGTGTAAACTGCACATTTAATGCCGAAAGGCTGGCAGACCTGTGAAGTGCAGAAGAAGGAAGCAGGCACACTTTACCTTGGCAAGGTCATACAGCTTTGCTGCCTCTTCAAACAGTCCTTTATTTTCTGCCACGGAAGCAACTTTGTTGATAATAGGCTTTGTGTCACTAGTAAACTTATCTATGACTCCAGGCTGACAAGACAAATTATGGAGGGGGAGGAAGAGACAGACGGGTGCACAGAGCTATTATTTTAAATAAAGAGACGCAATTAGGACCCAAAAAATACTTCAAGTGAAATTGCTTGCCCTGGGCAATGCATGTACTCCATCAGCCAGACTCTGGCTTTCTTGAAGATATAAAGTCCTATTAAAACTATAAAAGAGACCAAGGAAACTACACATGAAAGGGCAGACTTACTAGAAGCACAGAGGAGTCAGCAATAAGACATCTGTGCTTTCTAATTTTCCAAAATGACCCAGAGAGTCAGTGAAATCAATGATTTTAAATTTGCTGATGAGTAGGAACCACAGAGAAAAAGCAGGAGGCTTAGAGAAAATATCTGAAAGATTTTGGATTTGTTTTCTAAGACAGATGGCAAAAGGAACTCAGTGCTGAAAAAACACATGGCAAGTGGTAACAGGACATTTCTTAAAAAAAATCACCATCACCACTCGACAGCAACTAAATGCTCAGGAGAGCATGAGAGAGGCCTTAGGTACCCTGGGAGAATGAAGGCAAGTGCATAATATCTCTGCCTGGCCATTCTGCTTCTCCACCGGCACTGGACTCTCAGGGCTGGACCAGGTCGAGGTGACTTGCCCTGCCACTTGGGAGGCAGGAGAGGATAAGGTCTTATCTATGTTTCCAGCTCTGCAACTCACACACACTGGGAGCCTCCTGGCCCCAGTACAGCCTGTTAAAGAAGAAACTATGCAAAGCACTCAGTACCATGCCTGGTGATTGTCATCGCCCAATAACCAAGGCCACTGTCATCAGCACTGTCACTTGCCTTTCTTCTGAGGTAGATGCTGTGAGCAGTGTGAGCTCATCTACAGATTGCTGGGTCCAAACCACTCATTTTTACAAATGAGAAAAGTCAGTCCCTGAGGGGCAAGTGACTTTCTAAAGGCCACAGGGAGATTCAGGGCCAGGCCTGGTCTCTGACAACAGGATCTCTGACCCTCCTGCCATGACAACCAATGGGCATAGTGAGTCCTGAAATCCCTCAGGCCTTCCAGGAGTATTTCCAGGGTAACTGTGGAGTTCAAAGCCCTTGGAAATTGCATTTTGAAGGAGGTCAAGTGCACATCTAACTTTTCCATCTTGGGAGAATGGGTGCAGTAATCAATTTCTTTTTCTTGCATGTTTTCTGAGCCAAGAATGGCAGAAATGTATAATAGCAGGCATGAACAAATGAATATTCTGAACATAATAAAAAAGCTTTGTAATCACAAATTAACATATTTTAAGGATATATAAAGTGTGTGTAAAACCAAGGTCATCATCTGGGCCCATAATTTTCATTCCATTTTTTAAATTAAGCAACTCTGTTCAGATTTTCATCTTTAGTACCTTGAATCTTAAAATCTAAGTGTATTCTTTTGATATTTATAAATCCCCAACAGCTAACGAACATTTCTCTAAGGATGCATTTAACTCACCTTTCTACTTCCGTCATTCTCTAGTTTCCCAAGAATCATATCGAACTGTGGAAGGAAAAAAGTTTACTCAAATTATTGGACAAAGATATAAACATAATCCATAAGTCTTTAGAGAAAAAAGAGAGGAATCAAATGGGATGAATAGGATAAGTCTCACGCAAACTAAAAATCAGTGTGACTGAAATAAATATTTTCACTGTTAGAAACCAATGAAACTCTAAAAACTCCCTAGGCCTTATCCACCACAACCACATTGAAGTAAACATGCAGTACGGAATGAACATGGGAACATGCACACTGAAAACTATGGGGAGGAGAGAAAAGGAAACCCACTTACCTCTCGGCTTTCAATCACAAGCTCACTCACACAGCGCAGAAACATGTTTTCTCCTTGACTATCTTTCTCATCCCTGTAAGGGAAAAAAATCAACTCAGTTTCTAGTCTGGACATAAGGTCTCTAACAGTCATTCTCAGAATGGCAGAAATTGAAACTAGCTGAAGTAAATGGTCAAAAGCAAACGTTACCTGAGGAAATAGAAGTACTGGAGGGCCTCCCTTGGGTCCGTGGACTCAAACTTCCGGGTGTACAGCATGAGGAGTCGCACAAAGTTCAGCCGCCGCATGCAAGGAGGGTCACCAGGCTCGTGGCTGACTGCATCATGGGGGTCAGAATGGGTCACAACCACACTGCTCCTCTGACCCATGCAACCCAGAAACTATGGAAGCTGAATCCACAGACCCAGCAGCATCTACTCCTGCAGCCCAGTCAATGTTTGCCAATATAAGCTTTGGCCAGTCCCTTTTACCACCCTATCCTCAATTTGTCCCCAGGCCCAGCGTGGAGAAAACAGCACTTTGCCGTAAATTACTAATATGTTGGTCTCTGAATGAAAAGATAATCCAACTGACCATTATGGCACATGCTCTGGGATGACTCTGCTACACCAATAAGGAACCCGCAGCCATTCACCCACATTTACTTCCTCTCTCTCCCCTGACTCTCTCATCCCAGTCTGGTATGCATATGCCTGACTGGGATTTCCAATGTCATTAAAGCCAGGGCCCTAATGGGAATCAGACCTATAACTCTAGGGGCTGCTTCTTCACCATTTTCCAGGCAATCAGACTGGCCACAAAGCTAGCACTTTGAACAGCACTTTATATACTTAACTTCCAAGGGAATACCAATGCTTGGGGCGGGAAAGCAAGAACCCCAACACTAATCATCTAAAAAGCTCAACTGTCCACATGCTCTAAAATGACTGGTACCCTTTGCTCAAATCCTTATTGGTTGTGGTTTTGTGGCCACCGTCGCCCAAAGAGGGACGTGCTGTGGTTACATTACTGTAAACCCAATCCCAAATACTCACGGAGCTGAGCACTCTGTCCGGAGGACTTTAAAAGCAACTTCAGCTCAAACAGCACCAGTGCTACATGGACAGCATGGCAGCGCAGCCGCTCCATGCGGAAAAGAAAGGCAATTGCTGCTTCAAACTGCGCTGTCAGGAACAGGACTTGGAAGTAGAGGAAGGGTTGCTGGTTCACCGTAAAGTGGGACTCGCCTGGGAGAGAGGAGAGGAGAGGAGATAAAACCAACTCAGAAAGAAGGTGCTTACTGGTGGCCCAACCCCCAGGCAGCAGCCTGTGAGCCCACAGGACTAGATGGGCAGGAAGAAAGCACCAGCATGAGCCTGAATTGATCAAGGGGGCCCTGAATACAGTAAACTGCCATGTGAAATGTGACCTGGCTCCTCCATCTTCTCTAGACCTCATAACATTACTAGAAATTTGACTGTGCTGTAAAACTCCAGCTGCTTGCGTTAGGTGGGAGAGAAACAGAGTTAAGGATCTTAAAATGGACCACAGAGAGTGTCTATCTCCTTTACCCTGTTAAGTCACTCAAGGAAAGAAATGCAGATTTCAAAGGAGTTTCAGTTTACTCATAGTCACAGAAATCTGAATGCAACAACTGGTAGCCATTATTTGGAATCTTCTTTTTTTCTCAGTTTTTAAAAAATAGGGGGGAAGAAAGAAGAAAGGCTATTTCTGTCTCTCTCCTTTGTGCTCAGATCTAGTGACTAGTAAGATCTACTAGGAAGCAACAGCTACGTCTTCTTTGTCTCTCTCTGAGCATATGTCTACTAGAACAGTTCAAAGAATTAGAGAAAATAGATTATTGTGTATGACCATATAAGTTTTACGCATTACTTAAGGCCACATGCCCTTTATTTGAATTTGGAATGGTAGGTTTGCTGTTTTGCCTTGACAATCTATAGGAGTTTTGAAAGAAAGACAAAAGTTCAGAGATGAAAAATTTTCCCAGAGGAAAACTGAGGTAGTCACCTTAAGTGGACAAGAGAAGGGAAAGGTGGTTATGTCCAGGATCTTACCGTAGTCTTCCAACAACTGTTTCTGGAACTGTGAGAGAGTCAGCCTGTCTTGTGGGGAGCTGGTGCCATCGTCGTCAAAACACACTTGGTTCAACTAAATCCCCAAGAGAAACACATGCATTAGTACAAACTACACCCTGAGCCACACGCACAGAGTTGTAGCTGTTCAGCAGCCATGCTCAATGATGTCAGCTGGATGCTGTGTTTAAGGCTATGGTTATGAGCTGGGAATTACACAATAAAAAATGGGGACAGGAGACGAGGAACCCGCTGGTCCTGATCACCTTATTGGCATCATACATTATGCAGGTAAAATCTTTCTGGGGACATGAGCACAGAAAAGGGGTAAAGCCCCTGTGTGGGCAGAGGAAACCGTGCCTACCTTCAGCCACAGGTAATCCTCAGTTTTGTCTGCCACTTCACTCTGGTTGTCGGTGACGTCACATCTGCCAATGATACAGTACACGGCCCGCTTGTAGGGATCTGTATTGTTCCTAAGGGCTCTGCGGTAATGCAGCCGGAGCTTGTTTTCTGTAGCTGGGGACAATCTACAGACATAAAGGAACAGATAGATACACACTCAATAAAAATCCTCAAGGGCATCTGAAAGCATCCCAAGTCCCAAACATATAACAGCAGGGAAGCCTTCCTTCATCGGGGTAAGAGAGACTGTCTCTGCCCTATCCCCTCCCCTCGGCACCATCACTTTAACCTGACTTGCAACTACCAGCACCTGCATCTATTGGCCTGCCAGTTTTCTATTTGCTGAGGCCTTCATGGACAGGTCAGAAATCCCAGGGAATTAGAACTCCATTCCACACCCCAGCAGCACTCAAGCAGCGATGGACAGGAGTGAATCCTTCCCTTAACTGTCTTAGCTCCTCTGTGGCCTCCACACTCCCTTATTCATGTGAGATCACCTTCTAAAAAAACAACTTGCACTCAAATCTCCTTCTGGGGGAACCTTAAGACATTAACCCTACTTTAATTCTAATATGAGCAAGACAGGGGCTTGTGGTTTGAGGCAATCTCTTGACATGACATTATTAATGCTGCCAAGAAAAGTATCCTAGTTTTTCAAAAGTACAACTACAGTAACCGCCATCATTTCTTCTACATACATGTACATATATATAATAACCTCAGTTTGAGTATGAACTTAAGTCCAATTACATTAGCAAAATCCAAGGAAAATTAATGCTTAGTAGTTCCTTAATGCAAGAGAACGTAAAGACTTAATGAATTAATTCAATGATTATATTTCAGTTTTACTAACTTCTAATTCTAGCCTTTAAGCTATGAAGTACATGACAACATATTTCCATACTGGAAGCACTAAGTGTTAACAAATGTAACTTTTAAAAAGTTCCATTTTATAAAGCATCCTTGATGTGCCTTAGATTTACAGAACAACTCACATCATGCTCCTCAGCCAGCCCCTCCCTTGTAGGAACAGGAAAATTCCCAAACACAGATGCACGCATGCCTAGACATCAGCATCAGAATGGGGCATTCTTCTAATCCTTTCACTCTTTATTCCCAAGACAGTTCTATTTGCTTTCAAAACCTCCTTTTTCCCCCAAGCAGAAACTTGTTTTGGGCCTGTCCAGGGAAAAGAGAATAACGACAGGGAAGGTCACCCCTTTGATTCTGCATGGCTACCACTGGGCGTGCCACCTCATTCACCATACCTTCTGTCCTTGCTGTTCATGTACTCCTGGAACCAGGTTTTAAACTCTCCCAGCTGGTGCTGGGCTCGATTAACTACCTGTGAAGCGGCAAGCAGGTCTCCACAGCGCATGCAGAAGTAAATTAGTGCCCACACAGGATGGCCTTCTACCTCTCCATCCTAAAAGAGGAACAGTAAGTGCTCAAAATAAACAAAAAAAAAGCTGAGCTGACTGCTTTCATATGTGCTAAAACCAAGCTAAGCCCCTCTCCTTAAAATAAGTCACTTAATGTTCACAACAGCTCCCTGCGGTGAGAACCATTAACAACCTTTTCCTCCCTGTTTTACAAACAAGGAAACTGAGGCATGGAAGCGTTAAGTCATCTGTCCAAGTAAGCTGTTAAGTAACAATATGGCTCCAGAGCCTTTCCTCTGAAGCGCTATGTACCCCACCTGATCCAAAGTTACCCTGCGGTTTTTCCATGGAATCCCAGGGGCCCACAGTAACTGGGTGACGTTCTTTTGTGATAACATATACACATGCACTCCTACAACCCCCACAAAGCAAGGGCTAAAGATGTCACTGACCAGTAAGAGACTACCCTTATAGTACTCAAGTTTATAAAACGTCATAAACATTTTACTCAGTATCTTGGTGTCAGGTACTGCTGGGCACTAGGGGATCTCAGAGACAGCTCTGTTCCCACTCTCTGAATACTACAGCTTATTTATCCCAAGTCTGGTTTTGCCATTTGTCTGCACAGTGGCCTGCGCTTACGCTTCTCTCTTTGCTTTTCTTCAACTCCTCCAGAAGTAGGCCTCAGGCCTCCTTTCTTGGCACTTCCACCCTTCCCTCAGCAGGACTCTCTCTAAAACCCAGATCTGAACTTGCCCACTTAAACCCCTTTGAGTTGTTTAAGTCCAAAGTGCTGGGCCTGGCACTTAAGGCCTTCACTAGTGGGCCCCAAGCTTGCCAAGCCCTACTGTGCACCCAGTCCTCCAGATACTCTCTCCTGCCTCCATGCATTTGTGCATGTGTTACCTCCTCCTGGTACTCTTTTCCAAAACTTCAGGTTGGTGAACTCCTATTCTTTAAGAGCAAGTGAGAATCTCACCTTCTTTATGCAGCTAATCTTGTCTGTATCCTGCCACCCTTTGCATAAGGCTCCAGTTTAGCACTTTGCATTACTGTATGATAATCTCCCCAACTGGACCATGAGCTGAGAAGAGACCACATCCTAAAAACTACCTTCAACTCCATTCTTCCAGCTGTTTTAGTCAAAAATCTCAGAAGTCATCCCTGACTCTGCCTCTCACACTCAAATCCACGTTCTTCAGCAAGTCCTACTGGCTCAGCTTTCAAAACATGTCAAGAACCCAATGGCATCTTCTCCAAGCACTCTCCTCCACCCTGGGCTGAGCAACTACCACCATCACCTGGACTTCTATACTACCAGCCTCCTAAGAGGTCTTCACCTTCTGTCGTCACCCCTCTCTGAACTCATCTCCATACAGTAGTCTCCACACATATCCTCATTTTAACTGAAAATGCCAATCTGAGGGCAACTGCTCTGGGGGTGTAACTGATCACACAGAGAAAGTTGTCAGTACCTGTAGTCCAGGCAAGGGAGCTGGAAGTTTAATGTTCAGGAAACTTCGAACCAATTGGTAAGTCCCAGGCACCCCTCCCAGCTGGGCCTGATGCAAATTTCCAAAGACAGTCACAAGGGTGTAATTCTTATAACTGGAAAAATTTTAAAGGAAAAAACAGGGAAGATTGAAAACATTTATTACACATCTCTATGCCCATATCCATGACATTACACTGTAGCTTGGAAGGGCAGGGCCTAGACTTCAACCTCAATGCAGAAGAGGAAACAGTACATGCTTAATGAAGCAAACTATATTATTTACTCAGTGGGCTGTGGATCACAGTAGATTTCTCATCACTGCGGAAACTCAAAAGAATCCCTGGAGGAACACAACTGTGGACTTCAAATACATTAAGGGTGGATATACAGAATAATAATTGCTCCAGCTCACAGCCTAATGCTCTGGTGGGTTCTTGTTAAACTTTTTATTTTGAAAACTTTCAAACCTACAAAAAGTTAAAAGAATAGTTCAATGAATGCACATAACCTTTTACCTAGATTCACCAATTTTTAACATTTCTTTATGTTTTCTCTCTCCACACACACATAACATACACACTTGTGCTTTTTTTCTCCCCCCAAACCACTTGAAAATACGTTATAAAAATCAGGGGCTACTTTATCTGTAAATACCATATGGCTCTGAAGAACTAGGACCTTCTCCTGCCTAACCTCCATATCATTACGATACCAAGGAACTTAACATTAATTTCTTATTATTATCAAAAATATAACCCAATTTTTTAATAGTTTCCTTTACAGTTTTTAAATCCAGAATCTCATCAAGAAAATATAATTGTCAAGCCACTTTCCCTTAATCTAAGATAATTCCATTAATTCCACCATTATTTTTCTTTCATGACAATGATCTTTTTCTTTTTTTCAAGAGGCAGAGTATTGCTGTGGTTCCCAGGCTGGGAAGCAGTGTCTATTAACAAGTGCTCTTATTTTTTTTGAGATAGATTCTCACTCTAGACGCCCAGGCTGAAGTGCAGTGGCGTGATCTCGGCTCATTGCAACCTCCGCCTCCCGGGTTTTCAAGCATTTCTCTTGCCTTAGCCTCCCAAGCAGTTGGGATGACAGGCGCGGGCCACCAAGCCCAACTAATTTTCATATTTTTAGTAGAGATGGAGTTTCACCATGTTGGCCAGGCTGGTCTCGAACTCCTGACCTCAAGTAATCCACCTGCCTTGGCCTCCCAAAGTGCTGGGATTACAGGCAAGAGCCACCACGGCTGGCCCATAAGTGCCTTTAAAGCACTCTACAGCCTCAAACTCCTGGGCTCAAGCAATCTTCCTGCCTCAATCTCCTGAGTAGCTGGGGCTAGAGGTACATGCAACCATGCTCAGCTGGACACTGACCTTTTATTTATAGAGTCCAGGCCAGCTGTCTGGTAGAGTATCTAAGCTGGATTGTTACTTGATTCAGGTTCAACTTTTTTGACAGTAGCCCTACATAGCTAATGCTGGCATTTCCCACTGAATCCCACAATGACATAGGTAGCAGGTTTGCTTCTTTATTGGTAACACTAGATTTGATTCACTTGCTTCAAAGGTGCCCATCAGATTTCTCTATTACAATTTATTATTATCTTTGTACTTAACAAGTAATCTGTGGGGCAATACATGGACGTCATGTAAGTATTCTATTCAACAATCTTTTACTCAACGGTTTTACTTTCCATTGATGGTCCTTGCTGAACCAGTTATTACACTGGTGGTTGCAAATTGATGATTTTTCTACCATTCCCTCTTCATTTATTTACTAGCATGCTTCTTAAAATCCTCTGTAGCAGTTTTAAGTGTTTCCATACCAAGATTAAATAGTCCAATTCACAGATACCCAAATATGTGGTTAATGTAATAACTTTCTAAATATAGTACGTTCTTGTCAAAAACCACAGACTACCTCAAAAAGTCAGGTTTTCAACACCAGGTTAAGTAAAACAACAGAGAGAGTGAAACAAACAACCTAAATCTTAATAACAGGAAACAGACTCAACAAAAAAAAAAATTTTTTTTTTTTTGAGACGGAGTCTCGTTCTATCCCCAGGCTGGAAGTACAGTGGCGCCATCTCGGCTCACTGCAACCTCTGCCCTGCGGGTTCAAGTGATTCTCCTGCCTCAGCCTCCTGACTAGCTGGGTCTACAGGTGCGCGCCATCATGCCCGGCTAATTTTAGTATTTTTAGTACAGAAGGGGTTTCACCGTGTCGGCCAGGGTGGTCTCAATCTCCTGACCTCGTGATCCGCCCGTCTCGGCCTCTCAAAGTGCTGAGATTACAGGCGTGAGCCACCATGCCCGGCTGACTCAATGAAATTTTATGCGGTTATAAAAAAAAAATACTCAGACTTCAAGAACAGGGGGGAGAAAAGAAATATAACAAGGTAATAGGAGCCTCTAGATGGTATATGGGTCCTCCCCTCTTTTTTCAAGTCTTATTTTCAGCATCTTCCAAAGTTTCTATAATAAGCATGTATCATTTTTATAATGAAAAACAAACAAAATTTAACAAATGTTAATGAGTTCCCCATCACTGGAATATTTATTTATTTATTTATTTATTTTAGACAGAGTCTTGCTTTGTTGCCCAGGTTGGAATGCAGTGGCATGACCTCGGCTCACTGCACCCTCTGTCTCCTAGGTTCAAGTGATTCTCCTGCCTCAGCCTCCCAAGTAGCTGGGACTTGTGCCAAGCATGTACCACCATGCCCAGCTAATTTTTGTATTTTTGTATAATCGGGGTTTCACGATGTTGGCCAGGCTGGTTTCGAACTCCCAACTTCAGGTGATCCATCCACCGTGGCCTCTCAAAGTGCTGGGATTACAGGCGTGAGCCACTGCGCCTGGCCTGGAAGTATTTATAAGCAGAGGTTGGATAAGAAACTGAGGAGTCCTGTAGCAGCCAGGACAAACAGATGCCCACTATGGTCTCTTCCAATTTGAATTAAGACAGTCCATGTGCTGACAAGGGCCTAAACTGAAGAAGTCTAAATTCCTTGAGGACTAAGATATATATATATCATGCCTTAAATCTTGGAATGTGGCAGGGAAGAGACAGACCAATCCTACATTTTCACAACATTTCAGCCTTATAATTGAAAAATTATTTAGGACTGGTCTACTTTGCCATCTGGTGCATTGTATCACTTGAACTATTATATGCATACTGTCAGTGAATGAGCAGCAGAGAAAAATATTTTAACACTGAGTATAATTATTCTAAAATATCCCCTTTATCAAAGGTGACAATGAATGCTTACAAAAGATGCCATCAGAGAGTGATGCCACTAGAGTGAAAAATAAACTTAAGATTACAATTATGAAAGGAAATTCCCAAATAGCTCCAAGAAGCACTGTTAAAGAAATTAATGGAACAAGATACTTTTAAAAACTAAACGAAAAGACTTAAAGAAATGGACTGGCTTACCAGCGATTTAAAACCAAGGAAAGCAGCCTAGTACCACTGGTGAAGTCAAGCACCAGTGTTAAGGATTAGAGTGATCAAGAAAAAAGCAGTCATGAGCAGTCATACACTTACACTCACTGAAAAAAATAAATAAAAATAAAAAAAAATCCTAAGCCAGGCACGGTGGCTTACGCCTGTAATCCTAGCACTTTGGGAAGCCGAACCCAGTGGATCACCTGAGGTCAGGAGTTCGAGACTAGCCTGGCCAACATGGTGAAACCCCATCTCTACTAAAAATACAAAAATTAGCTGGGCATGGTGGCAGGCTACCATGCTACTCAAGAGGCTGAGGCAGGAGAATCGCTTGAACCTGAGAGGTGGAGGTTGCACAGAGCCAAGAGCACACCATTACACTACAGCCTGGGCAACAAGAGCGAAACTCCATCTCAAAAAAAAAAAAAAAAGCTGGGCATGGTAGCACACACCTCGGGAGGCTGACGTGGGAGGACTGCTTGAGCCTGGGAGGGAGAAGTTGCAGCGAGCCCAGATTATGCCACCACACTCCAGCATGGGTGACAGAGCCAGACCCTGTCTTACAAAACAAAAAAAAAAATTCCTAGAAGTTTTTGTATAGCATAAGAAGTTCTGACTCATTTTGCCGACTGGTAACGAATAAATGCTGCTACATATGTAGGTTCTTTACGGCTGAAGATTGATAAACCCAAAACTTAACCACAAAAATTCAGCCAACGCTTAGAAGAATTATTTTATAAACCCTTTATTCCTATACTAGGAGAATAAAAATCCATTTTGAGCTCCAGATTTTTCTTAACCAGGGAATGGAAGCTAGTGAGTGTAATGTGTCTGATGGTGTTCATTTCAGTAGCTCTCGTCTAATTAATATAGTATTTGGTATAAAAAAACCTATTCTCTGCTGTACCAAGTTTGAATTACCTCAGTAACATACAAGGAAATCTTCTGACTTCCTAATGAAGTATTGTTTTATTGACAAAAGGCGATCTCACTGCAAGGCTGCTGGCAGGTGCAGAGGCTCAGTGGCAAAGGCCTGTAATTTTGCAAGTGTATTCAACTTGGCTTTCTCTTCTCAAGCCAGCAGGGAGGGGCCCAGCACCCTGTCTCTAAAATAAAGAGATTCTATTGCACACTCATGGCAATCCCTGCTGGCCAATTCAGAATTGGAAGGAGTATCCACAGGGAGGGATGATGGCATGGGTCCTACTAACGAAGGGAACAATACTTTGGGCACAAAGGCACTGCCACAAACCCCTCAGTGACCAGCTCTGATTGGTGAGGAAGTGGCAAAGAAACTCGGGCATAAATCACAGGCATTATCAGCTGGGAATGACCCTGACTTAGGGGAATTAACCAAGTACAGTCAGAAAATAAGGGGAAAGGAGTTTTCCTAGGGTTTGAAGGTAGTAACATGCCTGGGAGTAAAATTAGAATGTGGAGAGAAAAAAAAAGAGCCTAAGGAGTAATGGCTGAACCACATTAGAAAAAGATTATGACCTAAGGCACTATGGCTTTACGTATTAAGAGACAGAGTGTGGAGAAAGAAAAAGGGAATTCGAACAGTGCTCACCTACTATGATTTTTTAATGTGTGATTTTTATTTTAACGTGTGACTGCAGAAACAGTCCTGGTAGGTAAGTAAAACAGGATTTCTGAAACAGGATTACAACTCTGAGCCTTGTTCAATTTAACATAATAAATCTTTTTTTTTTTTTTTTTTGAGACGGAGTCTCGCTTTGTCGCCCAGGCTGGAGTGCGGTGGCGCCATCTCGGCTCACTGCAAGCTCTGCCTCCCAGGTTCACGCCATTCTCCTGCTTCAGCCTCCGAGTAGCTGGGACTACAGGCGCCCGCCACCACGCCCGGCTAATTTTTTGTATTTTTAGTAGAGACGGGGTTTCACCGTGTTAGCCAGGATGGTCTCGATCTCCTGACCTCGTGATCTGCCCGCCTTGGCCTCCCAAAGTGCTGGGATTACAGGCGTGAGCCACCGCGCCCGGCCATAATAAATCTTAAATTATACCAGCTACAGCACACTTAACCTGAGGACAACTTAAGATCTGAGAAACGGTTGACTGCAAGGGATTTGAAAGCCAGCCCCACTGTGCTATTGCTGCCTTACCTCTGCTCAAGGTACGCCAAGGCCTGCCTGACAAACTCCATGCGCACTTCCACGCTGCTGCGGTTCTTCAGGGCATCAGTTGCCGGTGTCAACAACACGTCTGTCATTTGTTTTACCATGGTCCACATGTCAGAAATGCTCTGCATATAAACAAAACTGCATGTGACAATGCTGCAGGGTCAGAGAAATTATGTGGTTCTTTGTGGCACTCTGACCTCCAAGGCTGGCAGAGTAAGGTGGGGGATGAGGTTAATGTCATCTGTCTGTGGCTGCTAGGCTTAAGCTCAGTGCAGAAGATGCACCTCTGCTGGCCAGACTTCAGAGTTCCATCCACCGATAAGCACCCCCTACCCCTGCCCTGAGTTGGTTTTCGTATCAATTACTATTCCAGGTCTGACATAACCACATACATAATTAAAACTACACACAAGTTGCAAGAACACTGAATCTCAGCGGGTTATCCCTTCAGAGAGCAGGAATCCATTTACGGTCATCCAAAGTTCTAGCAGTTTAAACTCCAAGAGCTGCATTTCAGTCCTTACAAGGTTATCTGAGTTTCTAAAGGCTTAAAATAAGAGTTTAACCTAATAATACAAGTTTTCGTCCTCCCAGAGACGCTCCAGGGGCCACCGCTTTTACCTTACTTGGTGAGTGTCACAGCCTCCCATTTTCCTTCCCACTCACTCCCTTCAAAAGATGCCTCCCAGGAAAGGAGCGGGCGTTCTTTCCTCTGTGTTACCACCACACAGCTGAGACTCCCTCTCCCCAGAATCCTTCTGCCTGTAAATCGCTCCTTAAAAACAACGTGTTCCCTGAACCCTTGGCAATACTTTAAATGTATAAGTCCTTAGAGGATAGCACTGATTGGAGAAAAAGGTTTGTACTTGTTCCAAAGCAAAAGAGAAAAGCCTGTTTTCATGGTCTCTCTCAAAAATTAAAACTTCAGACTGTCCAGACAAATGTGACTCTTCCTAGGTGGTGGAATGATTGGTGAAACCTGACTTTCTTCTTTAGATCTATTTAGGTTATCTTATATTTTACTATTTAAAAAAATTAAGTTCGAGACCATCCTAGCCAACATGGTGAAACCCCGTCTCTACTAAAAATACAATTAGCCAGGCATGGTGGCAGGTGCCTGTAGTCCCAGCTACTCGGGAGGCTGAGGTAGGAGAATTACTTGAACCCAGGAGGTGGAGGCTGCAGTGAGCCCAGATCTCACCATTGTACTCCAGCCTGGGCAACAAGAGTGAAACT